AATTTCAAATAGTTAATTTGATACTAATATCGATATATTTTTGTCAAATTTTTATGATATCTTCAAACATATATTTTATTCAAAAATAAAAACATTATCACTTTCTCAAAATCACATAAAGTCATATTATAACACCGACTGAGATAAAGAATAAAATGAAATATTAAAATCACGATGTATCTCGCTGCATTGCGCGAGTATGTTTCTAGTTATATATTACGTATTTAAGATAATAAATAATAGATTTTTCCTAACATATATTTTAACAAATAAAAATATTATACTATATTTAATAATTAATTTAATTTTTTTAATTAATATATTTTTTTAATTTTTTACCATATTGTTAATATTAATTGATATATTATATTCTTAAAGATTTATTTCAATTATATTTTAAAACATTATAATTGATTAATTCTTTTTTATTATTTTATATTTTTTTTCATCTAGTTTTTTATCAAACACGATTCGTTAATCAGCTAACTTATTATCTACTTTGTCAAACATAACCTCAAATAATCTATTAAAAATCACTTATATTATTATATCGATTATAAAATAAAATAAAATAAAATAAAATATTTATTTTTAGAATTTTAATTATATAAAATATTATGTAAGAAGCTTTGACTTGACACGTGACATGAGTAAATGACCAATAAATTCCTCATCACCAGCTAAATATAAATAATACGATTTTCTTGAAATTTTCAAGCGGTTGACTTTAAAAAACACCAAAAACATAATAAAAAATGATTTTACAAATAAAAAATAATAGTTATTTAATAAAAAAATAATTTATAAATAAAGATTTTGAGTAAAGTTTATGGGTTCATTTTTTAAATTTTGACACACCATTTTTATTATTAATATAGATATTCAATTCATTATGCGTGCCAACTAATTCTAGAACGACCACCGACTTTGCATGTTGTCCAGAGTCACTGCATTTGAACCTCCGTGGTCACAAGAAGATTTTTATTTAATATTGGATTTCAACCTAGGATCTACAAACACTTTTAACATTTGAAGCCCAAGCTCAAACCAATCAGGTATCATCCATCGTCTATTTCTTTTTTGACTTCTATTGTTTCAACTTATGGATATCAAAGCGTGCTAAGAACTTCAAGATCTCTTAGTCCGAAGGATGTAATGGCCATGAGTTCGATATCTAATACTTCTTCGACATTCGTAGCTCTGCTTTTGGCTTCCTTTCGTTACATGTTTTGTCTTTTGGTGATTGGTATTTTGTTGGGGAAGTTTTATATAATAAATTAGGACAGATCACTGATGGAGTTTCCTGTCCACGAATCTGTAACCGACTAAAAATATCTTAAAATAAAAATAAACCTAAATCAATTCTACCGTTTTCAAATCGTACGCCCTTCAAACCCCTCACAAACAACAGTATCACTCTCTCTCGCCACATCATTGTCCGTTCTTCATATTGACTATCACACTGGTCTCCCTCTTTTTGATCTATTTTTAAGGGGTTATAAGTAGTTTTTGTTTGTTGGGTTAAAACGATGCAATTCAACAATTTTTAAAAGTTTGATGGTTTATTTTATTGAAAAAAAATGTTTAGAGACTTAATCATTTAAAATTAGAAAATTTTAGTTGGTTTTTTAATAAAAAATAGTTTGAGAATTTAATCATTCAAAATAAGAAAGTTTAATGACTTTTTAATTCAAAAAAACAGTTAAAAAACTTAATCATTCAAAATGAGATAGTTTGTTGGGTTTTTCTAAATTTTTATCAAATATATATCTAAAATTAATAGGCTTAAATCTTAAAAATAATCAAAAAATAAATAAAGAAAAGGTAAATATTACATCATCATTCATGGTTGGTCACAAAAACCAAATGGGAAATGGCAAGAATGACACGTGCATTATCTCAAATGTAGGATTTTAAACGGCCCCAATGGTATCATTGGAGCCATATCACTATCATCAACACATTTAAATTCAAACTCCCAATCATTTATTTTTTTACTTGACTCAAATGTTATTACATCTGTAATATATTACGAATCTAGTTAAAAGATAAAAAAAATCAGAATAAACCAGTTTATTAACGTAATTGCGGACCCGACTTTCAGAATTGTACATATAGCCGTCACAATTATATATTTGTGTTGAATTTGTGGTATTTAGTTAGGTTCGTAATATTACAGACTTGAATACCGCGGAAGCAGTGACATTTGGATCAAATCGAACGAGGGAAATGGTCAATGACTCAATTCTATGCACCCCCGTCTGTAATAGTTAACCGTTTTTTCTCAAAAATATAAATATTTTTGTAATGTGCAATTTCTATGAAAAAGTTGACGTACTTTAACTTGATTCTTATTTTGAAAAACGTACTTTCGAAACTTTCATTTTGATACCTAACATGTAAAGTTTTAAACATTTCAGTATCCGGATAACCGATTAAAACATTATGGTAATCGATTATCCAAATACTTAAATATCTAAAACTTTACATTTTAAATACTAAAATGATAGTTTTAAAAGTACGTTGTGAAAAATAAAAATCAAGTTAAAGTGCGTTCGTAATCGAATTTAAAGTTAAGAAAGAATAGAAATATATTTATTTTTATATTTTTAATTTGTAGCACGAAAATGGCGTTCACACCTCCTTCTCCATCTTCCCCGCGTCCCCCTCTTTTGTTTCTCTCTCTAAATCTCTTCTCTCTCCTCTTTCCCCTCAAATCAGCAAAGCATCGCACGCTATTTTACTGACAACAACAACAGCAACAACGAGTAAAACCATTCTCAAAAACCCTAATCACAACCACCATCAAATCTCGATCTTCAATTCTTTATTTTGAAATCCATACTCCAATGATCAAATTTTCTGGTGTTATTCTTCCTGTTTGATGAAGCAATTTCGTCGACATACGAGGATATGCATCCTCTCTTTGCTTTTCCTCTCTGTTTTTGCCCCGATCCTATTGCTATACGGTATGTTTTTCTGATTCATTTGCGTTGTTTTGGTTTTTGTTTGATTGATTCTGACTAAGGAGTTCGGTTGGTCTTATGCATCTGTTGTATCTGTGTGTTTTTGATGCAGAATCGAAGGGATTTATCGAAGATTTATCGAGTTTTGTATGATCTCATTGCCTTTTGATGTTTTCATCTGCGTGCGAGGGTTTAAGTTATTTTACTATAATTTATTGAATAAAAAAGATGGTTTTAGCATCTGATGTTATTCAGTTTGTAATACGTTTGCATCAAAGTGAAGTTCGTAAGGGATGAAATTGAATAATAGTTGAATCATGGTAGATAATGGGAAAAAATGAAGTCAGAATTGCTGCATGCTATTTGATTTGTTATTTGTTCTGCAACAAAGCATTCAAAGTAATTATATCATAGATGTTCGTATGAAATCTAAATTCCTTTTCTGTTGATTTCAGTTGATTTGTGTTATATGTTATGTAAATTAATTTAATGACGATCCGGTTTTGTATCTCCTTTTCCAGAAAGGCAGGAGGGATTTGCTGAACCTGAATCTAGTAAAGCAGGTAGTTTTGAAATGCTATCCTCTGCTTGGATTTGATCCCAAATTTTATGAGATGAGAATATAATTGCTATTATTACTTTTGGGAGGCTAAATTACTTGTGGTTGTATGCTGTGTATTAGGAGGAAGGTGAAGGTTTAAGAGAACCCATCTTAAAGGTGTACAAAGATGTAAATGTTGATCCTGTTGTCACTTTCGGATCCCAAGATGTTGGTATTAAATCTGATGATCTCAGAAGCCGTGAAAACAATGATTTAACAGAAAGAAATGGTTGGCGTTTTGAGTGTGTTTTTAGTATCCCACTATCCCTATTGATTGATTATTACCCGGTTCTTGAGTATTGATCATTGTCTACCGAATCAATTTCAGGAGATCTTGATACAAAAGGAAATTATGGACAGAGCCAGGAAGAGAAAATGCTGCTAAATTCAGGGAGAAAGGTTTGATCTATGCTCCAATAGATTTTGAAGAATAATAGAAGATAAGGGTACTTAAAAAGTAGTTCGTGAAGTTGTGTATGGTGAAAACTTGGCCATTAAAGGATCTAGATTGCGTCATCCAAGGCTTCGGAAACGTGCCTCTGGGGCATAGACTTACTTTCAAGTAAAATTATATTTCATCAACATTTAAATTCTAGAATCAGAAGAATCCGTTCGGATTTAGTACAACATAGTCACAAATGAGAATATTCCTAATGTAAATCTCTCATTTTAGTCTCTAAATGAATTACAAATAATTTACCTGGTCTGTTTTGCATATAACTAGGGGGCACTTTTTAGCTTTTCTTATCTGTTTATCATTCGAGGTAGGTCTGACGTAGGCACACAAAAGTTATTACTTTTTTTTACTGATTTCTTGAGCATAGTCAGCATACGTATCATGATACTCTTGCCTCATGAGGTCGGTGGTGGACAGAAGTATCTTTGTACCATGGCCTCTTTCAGTGGCGTAAGGGTGCGTTTGTTACATGGGAAATGACGGGATAAGTTGGAACAAAAACTTGTTGTCCCACATTTGGTACGACAATAGAGTGGGGCAGTGAGGAGGACAAAAATGCTTTTTGTTGTGCCACCAAAATAGGTGGAACAAAATTTAGGGGATGAGACAAGATTGGTAAATTACTAAATTACCCTAAAACCTTCCACAATTCTTTCACCCGCATACCTCACTCTCGGCCCTCCTCTCCAATCCCTGTGTACCAAAGCACTCTAAGAGTAGAGCAGAATAGCATGATAAAGAATTGAAGTTCTAAAGACCATTGCAATTTGTTATTCATGTCTATGTTGCATATTTTTGCCTTCACAACATGCACATCATTTTTTTAATGCCGTGGCAGGGAGAGATTGGTCGTGCAACACTTGGACATGATCAGGATGTACCACCGCCAGCACGGAGGGTAATTGATAAGAAGATCAAAGAGATGAAAGATCAGCTGATAAGGGCCAAAGCTTACCTCAGTTTTGCAATACCAGCTAGCAATGCACATTTGATAAAGGAGTTAAGGTTACGAATTAAAGAATTAGAACGAGCCATGGGAGAAGTCAGCAAGGATTCCGATTTGTCCAAGAGGTTACTTCCCATTTCTTTTCATTTTTATGCATGATCAACGTGGAATATAGAAGATTTTATTTGCAACTATCTAATCAAGTACAGTGGACATTCAATTTAATACTAAATGATTCCATCACCGGGTCTGATTTTGTACAGTAGGCAAGCCTAACTTCAAGAATAAACCTTGAGGGCCAGCTCAAATGGCAAATAAAGGCTAGGACTTGGGGCTCCTAGGTCGCCAGTTTGAGTTTCATCTGGGCCAGTGGGATTAGTCTCGGTGTGCTTAAGTTGGCCTGGACACCTATGGTTACCAAAAAAAAAAAAAACTTAAACAATAAGCTTCCTTGCTGTTAATTCCAGACCTGGTAATTTCATCAGATCAGCTATGATGGATAGATTTCTCTTTGGACTCATAAAAGGTACCAATCAGATATTTGCTCAATATTACTCCTTGGAATCATGATAACAATAACCATCTCCATGGATTACCCATGCGATCTTTTCAGTTTCTCAAAAATTCTCATCTAAATCAAAGATTAATGCAAGTTCATATTGATCTTAGACCATTGATCTCTTCAGGGCTTTGCAGAGGATGAGGGCCATGGAGATTTCGTTGCAAAAAGCCGCCCGCATTTACCCTGATTGCTCTAGTATGGTCAAGAAGCTCCGTGCTATGACTAACAATGCTGAAGAATTGGTTCGAGTACAGAAGGAGCAAGAAGCGTTTCTTGTTCAGCTGGCTGGGAGAACCACCCCAAAGGGGCTTCACTGTCTTTCCATGAGGCTTACAGCTGATTATTTTGCTTTAAAACCTGAAGAGAGGAAGCTTCCTAGTAACCCAGATGTGCACGGTTCAAATCTTTATCACTTTGTTGTGTTCTCTGATAATGTTCTGGCGTGTGCAGTGGTGGTGGATTCTACCATTTCTGCTGCAAAGGTAAGCTGGTCTGGCTTCATCTACTCATTTCTTCAACATATCTGTCATAAAATAGACGAAGGATCGTGTGAGAATAGGAGTTAACCTGAGAAGTGTAAGAAGGAATTTGGACCATTGATCATGTTTACTCCTAAACCAACCACTGAAATGCGCTTTGGAAGGGAATTGATTTGTGCTTCTCATTAGTGTTGAACTGTTGTTGATCTAGTGGAACTCTTCAATTAGGATTGATAAGGGTGAAGAACCCCTCTCACCCTTCTCACCGATACCCAACCCCATAAAATAAGTGTCCACTTTTCAATTTTAGTTTGTCCCAAAATAACTCTCCACTTTCAAAAGTAAGTTCTTACTTTCCAATTATGTTCTTAATTTTGAGATAGAGAAATTCATTACTTTCTCTATTATTGAGGATAAAATTTGTCTTTTAGTTTATTAAAAAGTGGAATAATTACATATTTCTAAAACCATGTGCCTCTTTCATTTTGGACATTTATTTTAATATGGAGGGAGTGTCATATAGATGGAGATCAAGAGAAGGATGACTAACTAGATAACTCTGGGGAATAATATGGGAGATGATTACTTGAAGTAGCACTGTAGCTTTTAGGAGATTACTCTCAGATGCATGATTCTTGCTTCTGACTGGCAGTGCTTGCCTAAATTGCCTTCAAAATAAAATTAGATGGAACATTGAAAAGAAGTTTGTGGATGAAGCTTGAACATGTGACATGAGATTACTCACATCTGCACGGTAGGGATGTGTTTTGTATGCATGCCAAGACAACACAACACAAGACAAGACGACAAAAAATTGTTGTCCCACATTTGATGCAACATTAGACTAGGAAAGGACGAGAATGAGTGGGACAAAATGCATTTTGTTATTTTGGAAAAAAAATCAGGGAGATCGAACATGATTGGTAAATTACTAAACTATCCATGTCAAATTAGAACCCCAAAACTTTAAATTCTTTCACCGGCCTACCTCACTCTTGTTGTCCTGTCCAATCCAATCTTGTTCAGTCCCATCTGCGTACCAAACTCACTCTAAGGAGCAGTTTGGTTTGATGGAATGGTTTTGACGGATTTGGATTTTGTGTAAGGATTTGGAATTGGAGGGATTCGGAAGGATTTTGAATATTTGGTGTGTTTGGTTTGTAGGATTTGGAATGGAATTGAATTCCATTTTTTTAAAATAATTTAAAAAAACAAATTATAAATAATTACACAAAATCAAATTATCTTTTTATTAATTGATCATTATAAAACAAATGTTTTCAACATATTTTAGAACATTATTATACACAAATCCTACGAAATCCTGCGAAATACCATCAACCTCCATGGGATTTCAAATCCAAACATGGGATTGGAATCAAATTGAATTCCAAATCCCTCCAAATCTTTTCCAATCCTACAAATCAAATGGAGCCTAAATTTGTGTAGGCTAGCATGGGAATGCCGATACTGCTATAGTTACATATTAAAGAATGATGTGAATGTGATACTAATGATTTGTAAAATGAGTGGTGATTTAATTAAAGTTGTTTATTCACAGGAACCAGGGAAAATTGTGTTCCATGTGGTGACAGATTCTCTCAACTTTGTAGCAATCTCCAAGTGGTTCTTGTTGCATCCTCCTGGAAAAGCTTCAGTCCAGATTCACAATATGGACAATTTTGATTGGTTATCCACTAAATACGAGCCTGCAAATGCCGAGGGGCATGATTCTCAGGACCCCAGATATACATCGGCTCTGAATCACCTCCGATTCTATCTACCAGATATCTTCCCAACGCTGAACAAGATTGTGCTTCTCGACCATGATGTGGTTGTACAAAGGGATCTAACACGCCTTTGGAAGGTAAACATGATGGGAAAGGTAAATGGGGCTGTGAAGACTTGCCAAGGGCACGATCCTGCATTTCGTCGAATGGATTTATTGATCAATTTTTCCGATCCTACGGTGGCAAGGAGATTTAACCTTGAGGCATGCACATGGGCATTTGGTGTAAATGTGTTTGATTTACGAGAGTGGAGGAGGAGGAATCTGACCGCTGTTTATAACGAATACCTGCAACTGGTACGCAACTTATGCTCCTTTTTTCTGAACTCTAATTCAATTCATTGGTGGGTAGTCGATAATTTATCTTGGTCTAGTCGTTTTTCTTTCTCCTCATTATTCCCTTTGGAACTGCATGCAGATTTAGGAATTTAGTTTTCAACAACTTTTTGCACTACGATTTGATATTATACATCTCTTAATACATTAAGCTGGTATAATGTGAAAATGAGTTCAAGTAGTTTATCGGGGTCCTACACACGTTGCTGATCAATAAAACTAGCTTATCAATAAGGGTGCGTTTGGTACGTGGGGGCAAGCGTAGGGGGCAGGACAAAAAAAACTTGTCGTCCCACGTTTGGTAGTGATAATTCCATTGGGACTGGACGTTATTGAATGGGACTAAAATGCAGTTTTTTGTCTCACCAAAATATAATGGAACAAAAATGAGCGAGATGGGACAAGATAGGTAAATTACCAAACTACCCATTATAAATTAAACCTTAAAACCTTTCATGATTCTTTCACCCACCTACCTAACGCACACTGGGTAACAATTTAGCTATGGTGTTTTCGGGAAATTTACATAAATAGCCAAAGCTAATAGGTGGTTTCACTTTTTGGCCATTTTCTGACCCAAATTCACTTTTTAGCCGATCCTTACGCAGAAGGCTTACATATATGCATAAGGATTGGTTTTCGACAAAAAAAAAAAAATCATCAACTTTATAATGTTTTATTAAAGCGTGAGCCGTTATTAAAACATTATAAAGTTGATGATTCCCACTTAAGGGCGGATTAAAAAGAATCATAACGCATATGTGTAAGATTTCTACTTAAGGATTCCACTATATACCAGATTATAGTGGAATCCTTACACATATGCGTAATGATTCTTCTTTTTGCTGAAAACCAATCCTTACGGATATGCATAAACCTTCAAAGTAAAGGACTAAAAAGTGAATTTGGGTCAGAAAATGGCTAAAAAGTGAAACCCTATTTGCTGATTGGCTATTTCTATCAATTCCCCTGTTTTTTTCTCTCTTTAGTGTTATTCTTGGAATAGGGGTAACGTATGCGTACATCTTACCGGTTACCCTACCCCCACGTGGGATATACCGGGTCTAAACCAAATCAAATAAACCCTATAAAGAAAGTAGGGCCGGTGAGGGATGGGATGTACGCAGTCCTGACCACCTCTACCTCAAAGGGTAGAGCAGCTTGGGATATACTGGGTTGGTTTGTTTAATTTAAATGTTGATTTGTTCTTTACGACCAGGGAAAAAAGAGACCGATATGGAAATCTGGTAGCTTGGCATTAGGTTGGATGACATTCTATAACGAGACGGTGGGTTTGGAGCGGAAATGGCATGTTCATGGATTGGGATACCATTCTGGTATTAAGCAGGAAGATATCGAACAGGCAGCCGTGATACACTACGATGGAGTGATGAAACCCTGGTTGGATATCGGCATCGAAAAATACAAAGGGTATTGGCGGAAATACGTGAAATACGATCACCCGTATTTGCAACAGTGCAATATAGCTTGACATCAACAGGTTTTTGCAAAATTATTTCTCATTCTTACACACTAACAACATCCATAGCTTTCTTTTTTTCTTTCTTGTTACCATGAACCAATCTTCTTTGTGTATATTACAATGCAACTTTCAATCACATGGATATGGTTAACTAGTAACTTGCTCTTTCCATTATCACCATAATTGAATCAAGTTTACACTACAACAATTCTTGCTATACAAAGTATTATAGACTTTGGGCTGCTTGGTTGGTTTTTTATTAAGTCATATATGCATAAAGTTGTCTGTATAGATTAATCTATTTGTATAGATTGAGAAATCTTTGTTTGATAACATTTTTTCGTAGATGGAAAGTGTTCGTTTTTAAATTGGGAGGGGGTAGGTTTAGAAAAAAAAAACTTGGCTTTATGCATAAAACTCCCTTCTAAAAGCTTACTGAATTGTATGTTATTAAGCCGCTACCAAACATACCTTATCGAATAAGTTGTGAGGCTCATTAAGCTGCTAAAATATAGATGATTAGACTAAGGGGCCATTACCAAACATTCACCGGATAAATTCTTACAGGATGTCACTTGACTGATAATCTTTGCCCGTGCATGTTTACTGGGTAAAAGATGTTTACCACCAATGGTCGAGAATGTTATCTGATAAGATAAGTGGGGGGTGTTGAATTTTGCTGGTAAGTGTTTACCTGGTAAGAGTTTGGTAGACAACCCTTGAACCAAACAAACTATTAATTATAATTGACCGATCAAAGTTGGATATTTAATTGTAATTGGATTGGATCCAGAATTTCAATATCTAAATAGGATTGGATGGTTGTTAGATGGCAATTCAAAATCCAATAACATCGGATGAATGATCTATTTTTGTGTGTTATCTGTACGTGGTATTTTGGTGTACCAAGACTTTCTTTTTTCTTACATCAGTTTATGTTTAGAAATTATGTTGGTCGATCGTTTTATATGATTATCAACTTATGAGTAGTGTTTTTAGTGAAATGTGCGGATATTGGACAGATCAAATATAATCCAGCGTTCCGTTTTAATCATCCGTCAGATTGAATTTGATTCCAAGTTAGTTGGATTAGATTGGTTGTCAAAATTCAATTTCCAATAAGTTAATAGATTGGATCAATTCCACCTAAATTTATCAGATATTGATCAATGAACACCTTTATTTCATATACAATAAAAGAAAGTTTCAAATACAAACCATGTCATTTTTATAAATCATACAAATCAATCTTGATCGTTCATCTACTTTAATGAATATATGGTTTTATAAATATATCGATTGATCCTAATATAATATCTTGATAATTATTAATGAACTCTACTAATTTTTTATTAAATATTTAAATCATAATAAATGAAACATTATCATTTCCATAAATATCTTAATTGATTGATTTGTAAGAATCATGGTTTGTAATTTAAATTGCCTCTATATAATAAATCCTGTAAAAAGGCAAGACACATATATATAAACTTGGGATCACGTGAGACTGGTCTGTTTTCGTGATATCATTTTTTTATACTTGAAACTTCACATCAAAATGCTGTGAAAGTAACCTTCACAGTGTTTTTGTTGTGAATGTTTAATTTTTTTTTATCTTCACATCGTTTTGCTGTGAAGTTTCAAGTTTAAAAAAATAATCTCACGGGTCTCATGAAAACAAATTGGTCTCACGTAAACCAAACCATATATATATATAGATTTTTACATAACACATATTCTGACAGGTTCAAACGAGTAGACGGTCAATTTGTCAGAAGTGCAAGAGGGATCAAATCACATGTATTACAAACACGTCACATTGACCAACCATCGCCCACGTTCTTCTGAATGTACTGTATCAAATGTGATTTTATTCACATATGATTTAACCCTTCTTACAAATTGACCGACTTCTTGCATTATCCCCACCCACCAATATTAAACACTAAATTCATTTCATTTTATGAATAGTTTTTATTGCAAGTTGGTGGTGATGAGTGGTGGATAAAAGATGGGTGCAATCCAAGTTTGTGTGGTTCCCATTGGTTTTCCTTCAATTTAATACCAAAATGAACACCAAAATCCCCTCTTTTGCACCCAACAAATCAAAAACAGAGAAAAATGGCATCCATTTTTGCTTCCACCATCACCACCACTCTTCTTCCCAAGAAACCTTCCACTCTTCTTGGTATGCTTTCTTTTTCAATTTTATAGAATATTCTTAAAAGCAACCTTTTTACTTAATCAAATGGTTTTTGATCTAGCGGTATGTGAGTCTTTGACTTCCTAGGAGGTCAGGGGTTTAAATCTCATCAAATATGAAGAGGGTGTGTGAATTTATTCGTTCTATTTGTCTTATATAAATACTATTTATTTCAAAAAAGTTTTTGATCTCTTTTCTTTTTTATGTCGAGGATTCTTAAAATAAGCAAAAATATTGTTTATACAGAGAATGCCATTTCTGGGTATCTCAATTGAGATACTTGAAGAAGGTTTGGGTTGAGGATAAAGGCAAGATCTTATATTTTATCTCCTCAAACCTTATCTTTATATAGGTTATGACTTGGAATTATGTGAGACCAACATGTTTTTGTGAAACCACTTTTTATCCTTGAAAATTCACAGTGAAACACTGTGAAGATAACTTTCACATTGTTTTTTTTTTGCTATGAAGGTAACTTACACATTGTTTTTGCTATGGAAGTTCGGGTTTTTTTTTTACCTTTACAGTGTTTTGCTGTGAAATTTCTTTTAAATGGTCTCACGAAAACAAATGATCTCGTGTGAATTCAAAAAATAAATTATTAGATATGACTATAGAAGTTACCATGGTTACAAAATTCAAGTATTTGACTTCTAGATAAAGTTACGGTCAATAATGTAATTTTACATGTATTTTAACATTAACAATTTTTTATCTGTTTGTTTCGTTAAAACTGTTGAAAAGACAGATCTTAATAATTAAATCTGTATAAAACAAGTTTTCTTTTATAAATATGATATGGTCAAACAAGTGTCCATGTAGGTTTTCTTGCTCTAACTTTGATATAATCATATATTAGTTCCTCTTACCATATTTTTGGTTCACCTCAAATTTTTAGTAACCATTTATTTATTTGACTTGGGATCATGTGAGACCAGTCTGTTTTCGTGAGACTATTTTTTTACACTTGAAACTTTACAGCGAAACACTATGAAAGTAACCTTCATAGTGTTTTTGCTGTGAAAGTTCGGTATTTTTTTTACTTTCACATTGTTTTACTGTGAAATTTCAAGTGTAAAAAAATGGTCTCAGGAAAACAGGTTGGTTTCACGTGAACCCAATGTTGTTTAAATTGTCCCTAAAAAATGTATACAAAAATTCAATCTTTTATGTGAATTATACGATAAATAAAGTTATATATCAAATAAAAAGTTGTAGCGCACCAGGACTCGTTTGCCTAACGAAAAGTTTTATTGCACTGGATTTAGTTTATCTACATGCAGTCTGTGTCTTGTCAAATGGTCATTGATCCAACGGTATGCTGGTTACCCGTACAGTTCAGTTTTCTAGGAGATCAAAGGTTCAAACTCAATCAAATATGAGGAGTGTGTGTAAATATTTACCGTATATAAATATTATATGCTTTAAAAAACCTTTGTGACTTGGTTTTGTTATAGGGTGCGATAGTTTCACAATAAAGGCTAGAATTGTTGGTTAATTTTTAGGGACGACATGCAAAATGGGAAAAGTGAGATGCTCTGTAGATCGAGGGACGTCGAAGGGGATCTCACAACGATTGGTGATGACAACTGTATCGTCGTTCGTTGCTACAACGATGGTTGCAACCATGTCGAGCCCAATAGCGATGGCTCTGGTGGACGAGAGAATGAGCACAGAAGGGACCGGACTCCCCTTTGGTCTAAGCAATAACCTTCTTGGTTGGATCTTGTTTGGCGTGTTTGGTTTGATCTGGACCCTTTACTTTGTCTACACTGGAAGTCTTGACGAAGATGATGACTCTGGTCTATCACTTTAGTATATAGGGTTGGGTTCGTACGAGACCATGATGGTTTCATGGGACCCGTGAAACCACTTTTTTACACTTGAAACTTCATAGAAAATACTGTGAAGGTAAAAAAAAAATCTAAACCTTCACAAAAAACATTGTGAAGGTTACCTTTACAGTGTTCATCTGTGAAGTTTCAAGTGTAAAAAGTAGCCTCACGAAAACATGTTGGTATCACGTGATCCCAAAACTTAGTATTTACTAGAACATAATGTTTTTTTTCACACTGAGTTGAGTATATGTTTTAAGAAAGTTATTAAATGTATTCGTTAACGGATCAAATAAGTCATCTATTTACAAACCACAACTCTTAATGCTCAACAATGACATTATTATTTATTGTAGTTATAGTTTCGTTTGAAAACCAGTTATTATTTTACTTAAACTGCGAAAAATACTTGATGACCAACAACTCCAACTGTCCCATACAATATCTACTACTAAGGCAATCAATGTGAGAGCACGTTTTTTAGTTGAGTCAGTGAAGATGGGGCTGGCGAGGGGTGGGGAAGATCGACCCAGTAGGGGTGTGCAGAGAATCAACCGATTCAATTAGAACTGAACGACCATAATTGGATATCCAGTTGTAATTGGATCAAATCAGATTGAAAATTCCAACATCCAATTTGGATTGGCCGGTTCTCGGATGGCAGTCTAGAACCGATCAAAACCGAAGCGAACCAAACCGATCAACATCTAATTACCCATCCAATTAATCATCCGACGACCATCCAGTTGTCCATCCAATCATTATCCAACTATCATCCAATTAATTCATTTTCAAATTGTTTAAATCACAATTAGTTTTATGTGAGATTTAAAATTTAAAATTTTCCTTGTGTTGATTTTAACACATGTTAAAAGTGATTAATTAATTTGTATCATTGTTAGATAATTGGATTGATTTAACACACCGGATGGATCAAATCCCATCGGATCATCCATTAGATATCCAATAAAAGTATCCAATTGATAGAACCGAACCAATCCAATCATCAACTGGATTGGATTGGATCAGTTATCCAATGTTAATCGGATCGGATCGGTTGGCAAAATCCAACATCCAATGGATAATTGGATCAGTTCGGTTTCACTCATATCCAATGGATATCAACCGATGAACAGACCTACAACTCAGTACTGTTTTTTATTTAAATAAAGTCATACCATCTCTTTACCAACTGCGTTATACTTAGAAAATATTATAACACACACTTGTATTCAATTTCAATTTTCATTTGATTAAAAAAAATAGTGATTTATTTTCTCAAAAATATTTTATTATATTTAAGATTTTAAAAATAATAAAAAATTAAATTAAAATAATAAAGGAGTGGGGATTCCAATGAATTTTGGTCTTTTGTCCTTTTGGGCCATTCGTACCGCCTTCTTCTGAAGATATCTCTGAACTGTCTTTTTACCCGCCAGTTCTCATTCTGTACCCCCTTAACTAATATGTATATTCAAAATCATACCCTATACTTTCGACATTTTTCACTTTCACCCTTTATGTTTTAAATAATGTCATTTCCATTATAAACATAGTCCCATTTTTCATCTACTTCGAAAAATCAAGATAAAGCCACTTCATATTAATTGAATGGATTTTAAATGTAGTTGGTTCTTCAAAAGATGCATTATTCTTGCAAAAAGAAAATAAATAATGTCATCAAAATATTTTTTTTCTAGGTAACAAGTGGGCATCTGGGTTGGCTTATGTGTACTGACTAGTCTCACGGATGACTATGATTAGTTTGGAGTCATCGCAAATGAACCTCCATGGATGTGGAATATTTGATTTTCACTACAGCCATCTGAGTTTAAACCATTGCATCATAATTAGGGGTGTTCATGGATTGAGTTGATCGGGTTGAAAACATTTGAACAACTCAATCCAAAGCTTATGGTTTGAAAAATCTTAACCTAACCCAACACAACCCAAACCAAACCAAACCAAAGTGCAACACAACATAACCCAAACTGTACGAGTTGGTGGGGTTGATACTTTGGTACATTGAAGTATTTTTCTAACCCTGAATATGTTACTACTCATATTTTCTTTTTCATCATCGATCATTTTATAAAACTTATCCATATTTCTTACGTATATCACATTCAGTTAATTTTTTCAATTTACACATATATCTTCACAGTTACTCAACATATATATGAATAGATTGAAAATATGTGTATATGAAAAGCGTACACGATAGTGTAATTGTCTAATGTGTATACTAATAAAAATTCAACAATCATATTAAATCCATGAAATAAAAAGATATCAGGTTCATCGGGTTGAGTTAGGTTCAAATAATAGTAACTCATATCAACCCAATACCTAAGATTTAAAAAATTTACAACTCCATTAGACATCGGGTTGCTTCATGTTGAGTTATTTCGCGTTGGGTTGATCGCGTTGACCATGTTGGTCGGGTTTTTGAGCACCTCTAATCACAAACCCAAGTGGTTATGTCATCAGAGTCCGCATGATGTTGCTAGAATTTGTTAACTTCATTCATGATATAATTTGAGGATAGTATCTGACTTCTAATTTCACCAAATGGAAAACATATGACCTGAAGAAAAAATAAAGAATCTAACACTTCCAAGTATCGAACATCAGTTATCAAATAATTATAGAATTTCAAGTTCAATTAAGCTAAGATATAAGTGGCTGATGCACTTCTTATGTTCATGAAAAGAAACCTTGAGTTCGATTCTTATTCATCAAATAAAATGTTACAGTTAAAATACACAAATCTCATAACACTCTGTATTATTGTTGGTATAATCATAGGGTTGATTCCAGGTGTACACAAAAATTGTAGCCACTGAGTTTACTAAGACTAATTTTTTGTAGTCATAATTTACTGAGATTAGTCCAGGCGTAGGCTGCGACACCCTTCCACACACTATATAATTACAGGGACCATTTGGTTTGTTCACATAGTCAAAGTACCAAAACTGAAACTTTCAAACAGAAACAAATTGTAAATATTTTAAATTTCATTTTGACCCTCCAACTTATTGTTGTTTTGCAATTGTAAACATCATAAAATATCACGCATTCGAGCCATTTTACCGGCCATTCGCCCACTCACTCGACAATGTACTGCAAATCTCCACCAATGGAACCCACAAATTCCCATGATAAGAACCCTAATTTTACCTCTCAAATCCCTTATCTTTCCCATTGGGAATACCCATTTCACTCTTTTAACTGTACTCGCATCATTACACCTTTTTATTTCAAAAAATTGCACCAATTTGTACTGATTTCAATTGGGATTTTCAGTAAAAGGATGGGTGGAGAAGCGATAGTTGTTCCATTGGATTCGTTATCTCAACCAGCTTCTTTGATTAAGAAAACCGCTGTTTCTCGGAGCTGGATTTCGGTTGATCCTACTGGACAGAGCACAATTTTGGATTTGGATAAATACGGTATCATGAAACGAGTATCGATTCACGCTAGAGATCTGAGGATTCTCGATCCATTGTTATCGTATCCATCTGCGATTTTAGGCAGAGAAAAAGCAATTGTTCTTAATTTGGAGGTTCATAGCTTCAATCTCTTCGATTCTGTTGTTTATTTGTTCGAATTTCTAGTTGTTCTTGTTGTTTTTTAACTTGGTTTCATTATTGGATTTGTAGCATATCAAGGCAATCATTACAACTGAAGAGGTATCTAACTATGTAGAGCAATTTTGAATTTGAATAGTGATAGATTTGGTCAGATTGAATGGTTTCTATTTTTGAACAAGATGATATCATGTTAATTGTCTCGTAAATAGTTGCTTTACTCTTTGGGGTAGAGGTAGGTCTAGGTACATCTCACCCGTTCGGACCGCTTTCAAGTGAGATATACTGGGTTTGTTTTGTTTGATTTACGATATGATGTTGATTGGTACGTAGGTATTGCTCCGTGATCCGCTTGATGATAACGTTATCCCCATTGTTGAAGAGCTTCAAAGAAGGTTGCCTTCGGTTAATGTCAACTTTACAGGCCATGGAGAAGATGAAGACGGCAATGGGGTTCAAAGCGAGGCTCAAACGAGCGAATCAAATGGTATTACTACTTCTGTCTCAAAATAAGTGTTTGTGTTTCTATTTATGTTTGGTTTATGTGAAAACAATTGTCAACTTCCAAAAGTAACGTCCCGTTTGGTTTGTAGGATTGGATGGGTTTTGGTATTCAATTCCATTCCAATCTCATGTTTGGTTTGAGGAATTGCATGGATTTGAAATCTCAGGATTTTATTGAAATCTCGGGATTTTATTGAAATCCCATGGGATAGTCGGTATTTCACGGGATTTTGTATGATTTGTTTGTAATAATGTTTTGAAAATACGTTAAAAACACTTGTTTTGTAATAATAACTGATAAAAAAATAATTTAACTATTTTTATAATTTTTTATTAAAATTATTTATAAATAATGAAATTTAATTTCATGCCAAATCCTACAAACAAAATACACGAAAGATTCCAAATTCTTGTAATTCCAAATACTCCAGATTCCAAATCCCTCCATAAAATCCAAATCTCTAAAAAACATTTCGTCAAACCAAACATTTTTTAAGTGTGTATTTTCTAATTCTACCGGTAATTATGAGATAAAGAAAATTCATTACTATTTTATGTTATTAAGGGTAAAATTATCATTTAGTTAATTAAAAAGTATAATAATTGTGTGCCTTCTTCATTGTGGATATTTATTTTTCAGATGGATAGAATGTATAATATGCATTTTGTTGCCCCTAGGGGTAACACAATTGGTTTTGCATTGGATTACTTGCACAAACAATCATATTGTTCTCATTAGTTTCTTGGGTTTTGAATTGGATGTTTAATGTTTCTAAGTATCTTATTAATGTTGTAATCTAACTAAAGATTTTGGTGTAAACGAATGTAGAATTCCCGTTTGAATTCCGGGCTCTTGAAGTTGCACTAGAAGGTATTTGTAGTTTTCTTGACGCACGCACAAGAGAATTGGAAACCGCTGCTTACCCTGCTTTGGATGAGTTGACCTCGAAGGTGAGTTCTTGATCTATCCGAGTATTCGTATGACAAATATTGTGACGGATATGTGGAACCCCTTTGAATGTTTCTATAAAAATAGTGCTTATAGAGAGAGGGTCTCGTGTTCTCGTAAAATGGAGGTGTTCTCATTTGAACATATATATATATATAAAAGTTTATTACCCGTGTGGGATCCCAACAAATGAATAAAGATCTCTTATCCCCACATTTCATGTCCCCGTCCACCAATTAGAACACATCTTCTCATAATAAAGATATGGATTAAATAAATTTATATCAAATAAAGTAATTATGTTTCTTTATTGGTGACAAAGGATCTTTATTTTCAACAAATATATCACTATTATGTGAAGCTTAAGATGATTACACCCGTTTTGAGGTAGGCCAGTTGGTTCTTATCGTTTATAGATGTAGTATACTCCAACTCTGATACCATCTAGGAGGGTTGGGGTCTCGTTAGATCAGTCTGTGTTCGTGACACTTGTGAAGAAATACACTAAAGGCTTCAAAGCAAAAACACTGTGAAGGTACAAAAACAAACTTCTATAATGTTTTTGCCACGAAGGTTTGGTGTTTTTGTACCTTCACAATGTTATATTGTGAAGGTTTTGTGTTGTTTTGTGCTTTTACGGGACTCACGAAAACAGACTGGTCTCACATGATCTATAGGATATGTGAAACCATTGGGATTCCAACTGTACAACATTTGTGACCTTAAAGAAAAGTTTGTTGCATTTATTCTTTAAGATGACAATTGTAGCATTTCAGATAAAAAAGCTTCAACATTTTCAAGATAATTACGAGGGAAGAACATAAATGCACGGATAGTCGAAAAAAGTTGGTTAACCATGCCATTAATTATTCTTGTCGATTTTTCGTGCAGTTTATTGATGTCCGTTTTTGGGGTTGTTTGATCTTTCTATCAAAGTGAATCAAGTGCATATTATGTGCAGATAAGCAGCCGTAACCTGGATAGAGTGCGTAAGCTCAAGAGTGCGATGACAAGATTGACCAATCGGGTTCAAAAAGTACACTTTTTTTTTCCCTTCCTCTACCTCATTTCTGATTTCTTCAAAGAACCCTTATATAGATAGCGGGTTCCTACATGTATACATGTTTGATGGTCCGTGTCTAGCTGATGTGAATTTTAACACGTCCCTGCAAATGGAGGTTAGATAGTGCCCCAAAGAACGTAGGGGAAAAAGCTTGTCTAGTATGTGTTTGGTACATTAGACATGACATAACAAAAACTTGTTGTCTCACGTATGACGCTACATTTAGACCGGCACAAGACAAAACTATGTGGGACACCATTTTACTATTAAAAAACGAAGCTATGGGTATTTCTTTTACTCAATCATCATTGGTCTGTTGGTTAGTTCTTCTGTTTTTGTATGTGAGGTACCATGTTCGAGTCATTTGTCCTAATTCTTTTTAGAAATATAATAAACCTTAGATTAAAAGCTAAAAACTAAGAAATGTTACAAATGATATTCCAACTTACGCTTAGAAGGGGAGAAAAGATCATGTAAACCAACTTTACCAAGAGAAACTTGTGTAATTATTATAGTTTCAAAGAATAGACGATTACACCCAACAAAATAATTAAATGACATATTTCACAACCCTAAAGACTTATACACTCCGTACCCACCATAGTAGGTCCTCCCCCTGTGTGGACAAAAAATGCCACCAGAATAGATGGAACAAAAATCAATGAGATGTGACGAAGTTGGTAAATTACTAAATCGTCCATGTCAAATTAAAACCCTAGAACCTTTTATAGTTCTTTTGCATGTCTATCTCACTCTGAACGTCTAGTCCTATACAATGCAGTCTTGTCCTATCCTGTCAAGTCATGTGTTGCTAGACCCCAGCTCTCCTCTCTGATACTGTGTTTGAATATGTGAAAACCGTCATTCTCTCTAAAATAAAGCATTATAAGATGTCATTTTTGATCATTTTACATTTTTCATCTAGTTTATCAGCTAGTTTTTGTGATACATATTCAGCCACCAGCTAGCTTGCCAAAAATAGTCTAAGTGAGAGGGGAAGTTCCTAAATATATAAAATTTGATGATTTGTATCTAGCCAACATAGTAACCAACAGACATTCATATTGAATGCTATTTTAGTACTGGTGCCTAAACCGATGGTATTCACATCGAGATTTTCGATCATTTTAGGTAAGAGATGAGCTTGAACAACTACTCGACGACGACGATGACATGGCAGACCTCTATTTGTCGAGGAAATTGTCGTTTGCTTCTTCCGCCAGCAGTGATATCGACGGTGCTTGGTCCCCTCCATCTCCTACAATAGAGTCGAAGATATCGAGAGCAAGCCGGGCAACGCCGTTTTCCATCCATGGCGAAAATGACGTTGAGGAACTAGAAATGTTGCTCGAGGTCCGTCACAAAACCTACATGTTTATTTCGCCTTTCGGTAACATGTTTTAATCGATTTCATTTTTTTCGTAGGCTTACTTCATGCAAATTGAAGCTACGTCAAATAAACTGACCACGGTTAGTGGAAGTAGGCCAACATTTTTATTGGAAAATCGGGGGTTTTCAAGTCCACGGGGAGCAAATCGAGAAGTCCTTCGAAAGATCGGGCTTCCCGGAGAATTTTGTGTCTTTCTGCCAAACTGTTTATTAATCTTTCAATACAATTTAGCTTCGGATAACGAATTAAATTGAATACGTTTTTTTTTTTTTTTGTGTTGGCAGCTTCGTGAGTACATCGATGATACAGAGGATTACATTAATATTCAGGTAACCGCGTATCGCATTTCTGTAGAGTAGCGTACTTTAACTTGATTCTTATTGTAGGTAACGTACTTTCAAAACTTTCATTTTGGTACTTAATATGTAAAGTTTTATACATTTAAGTACCCGGGTAACCGGTTGAAGCATTAACCGGTTATCATGCTGATATGGCGAGTGATGTGGTATCCAACTCGGTATTATTTGTTGACGTGATTAGTGACATGATTTTTTTTTAATCTAGATTAGTCTTTTTTCTTATCTAAAATTAGTCTTCAATCGGTTACTCGGGTACTTAAATGTTTAAAATTTTACATCTTAGGTACCAAAATGGAAGTTTTGAAAGTACGTTACCCAAAATAGGAATCAAGTTAAAGTACGATATTTTTTTTATGCAATTTGCTCTTTACATTCAATTTCAATAGATTCTTTATTTAGAAATTACAATATTAATTATATTATTCAAATATTTTATAAATTTAATAAAATATTATTTGTCTTTCCTAAACATTTAATATCAAGGTTTTTTATTGGTGAAAATATAATTATTATTTGGGAAATCGACCAAAATAAACCGATTTTCCTAACCAAATTCACTTTTTAGCCACTTTTGAAACGTAACTCGCATTTTACCCGTAGTTTACGTAGATATTTCATATATTTGCATAAAGTCTATTTTCAGATTAAAAAAATTTCTTTATGCAAATATGTATCCTTACGTAAACTCTAGTTAAAATGGGAATTCAATTGAAAAAATGGCTAACAAGTGAATTTGATTGAAGTGATTTGACACTTTTGATGAGTTTTCCTTATTATTTCTCTCATAGTTTTTGAGGAATTTTTTGTGGGTAAATTGCATTAAAAAGTAACTTACTTTAACTTCATTTCTATTTTAAGTAACATATTCTCAAAACTTTTATTTTGGTATCTAAGATGTAAAACTTTAAACATTTAAGTGTCTCAGTAACATGTTGAAGCATTAACCGGTTATCATGCTGATGTGGTATCCAACTCAGTATTATTTGCTGACATAGTTAGTGACATGTCTTTTTTAATCTAAAATTAATCTTTTTTTTAATCTAAAATTAGTTTTCATCTAAATAGTTAAATGTTTAAAACTTTACATCTTAATTATCAAAATGTAACATAACCATAACAGTTTGAGATTTTGTTTCATTTTAACGCAGTTAGATAATCATCGAAATCAGCTGATTCAGGTAAATATGATCATGCTATTGTTATTTAATTATTTATTTTAAAAAATAATAATAAGGATTTTTTATAATTATTTATTTATTTATTTATTTATTATTGGTTGATTACAGTTGGAACTGTTCCTACTATCTGGGACAGTCTCATTGTCTGTTTACTCATTGGTGGCTGCTATATTTGGTATGAACATTCCATACCCATGGAATAACAACCATGGCTATGTTTTCAAATGGGTATGTCTCTTTCTTTCATTTTATATCTGATATTCATGGAAACAGTCATTTTATTTTTTGATACGTTGGAGTCGGGACGATATAAAAAATGACAGAACAAAAACTTGTGTCCAGCAGTTGTCATGACAAATAGATTGGGACATAAGAGGACTGTACATTTTTGTTATGCCAAAACAGTTGGAACAAAAATCTGACCAGGATTGGTAAATTATTGAATTACTCATGTCAAATTAAAATATTCCACAAAACTATTTCATCGCCTAAACCCTATCTTGAGAGACGGACCTACTTGAGGATGAAGCATGGCCCCACCGCTTCACCATAATGTTTCGTTGTTGCCCTTGTATTTAGGAGTTGTTTGGTTGGTTTTTCATTGAAGTCTTGTATGGATAAAACTGTCTGTGTGGGTTAATCTCTTTGTATAGATTAGGAAGATTTTTGTTTGGAGAGTTTTTCATAGATGAAATGGGCATGTTTTTAATTAAGAATGACAGGCTTGTAAAGAATTTGACTTTCTGTATAAAGTTCGTCCCTAGAAGCTTACTAAGATTTTTGATGCCCTGTACGGAAACAATAAAAAATGCCCCTAAGCCTATTTTTCAAGCTAAGTATCTCATCCCGATGTTGAATTTTATTAATTATAATTAGAAATATACGATGGAGGGGGCATAAAAACCAAAACCCCGAATACAAAATATAAAATGATAAATTTTGGATTAAGATCGTGCTTCCTTCTTTTCCAGTTTTCCCTTTTTCAAAATTGAAATTAGCAAAATAGAAACTTTATTTCAATATATGGAACTTAAAAAGACAAGGAAAACCATAATTAGTTTTTAACTAAAATAGTAAATTACATCCAAACTTGTTGTCATAGTAAACAAATTGTAAAACTTAAAAGTTACAGGTCTAACGACTAAAGACTAAACGCTTATCTTTTAGCAGCTTAATAAGTTTAATGGAACTAACGGCTTATTCACTCAACTATGCATGACTGTTTCGTAGTGGCTTAATGATATAGAAAGTAACTTATCCAGTAAGCTTCTAGGGGGAGCTTTATATAGAAAGCCACATTTTTTTTCCAAACATGTCCCTTCCAACTAAAAAAATGCTTCTTACATCTGCGAAAAAACTCTCCGAAACAAAAACTCTTCCAACTTATACAAACAAATTAATTCATACAGACAACTTTATACAAACAAAAACTTTTCCAACTTTCGAACATCTTCCAACGATGTGCATTTAGTATTCATCATTACTAGGCCTTGAGCCTGTTTTTATAATCAAAAGTTCAGTTGTCCAATTCTAAAATTATTAAACTCAAAACTAGTAATAAATGACAATTTGATGCCCCTTTAGGCTTTCTGTGCGGCCGCACGTGGCTAGGGCCGACCCTGTGAATAAGCCGGTTTTTATATCATTAAGCCACCATCAAACAGTCATGTATAGCTAACCGAATAAAAACTCATTATACTGCTAACAAACAATCCCTTAATAAAATTACATTTATGATAGGAATTTAGGCTAATTAAGTTGGTATATAGAGCTTGATTAAGCCATCATTTCAATGGAGAGTAGGGCTGGGATCTTGTTGGTGTCAAAATACTTGTTTTTTTAGCTATTAATTGGGTTTATTTGTGATAGATTTTATTTTAAAAAGACGAATTGCATAAAAAAGTAACGTATTTTAATTTGATTCTTATTTTGGGTAATGTACTTTCAAAACTTCCATTTTGGTACCTAAGATGTAAAGTTTTAAACATTTAAGTACTCGGGTAACCGGCAAATTTTAGATTAAAAAAAATTCATGTCACTAACCACGTCAGCAAATAATACTAACATGGATATCACATCATTCGCCACATCAGCATGATAACCGGTTAATGCTTCAACCGGTTACCAGGGTACTTGAATGTTTAAAACTTTATATTTTAGGTACCAAAATGGAAGTATTGAAAGTATGTTATCCAAAAAAAGGAATCAAGTTAAACTCGGACACTTTCCTCGGGAATACGAGCAACTAACCAATTGAATCTTAGAAGTTGAACAAAATAACCAATCTCGGTCCACCCATTTCAGTCATGTCTGTATACCAAACACACCTTAAAAGTAGATGTTAATTTTGTATACATTTCAACCCTCAAAATTTACCTTCAATTAAGATATACCGAATTTGTTTGTTTTGATAGCCATGGATTAATTAATGGTGGTTGGTTGTTCATTTCAGGTGGTGGTTTTTGCTGCAATAGTGAGTGGTTCAGTGTTCATGTCAATAATGACTTATTCAAGACACAAAGGTCTTGTGGGATCATGAGATCCAAATGCATTAGCTCATTGTACTCTATGCATTGATGGGGTTGTACCTTTGCTAGAATAAGAAGTTGTTAGGCCCAAAATATGTTGTATCCGAGATTACCGAGAATGAAGACGAGAGTGAAGAATGAAGAGGTCAAAGCTTCCAAGTCAAAATCAAAATAGTCAATAATTCATGTAAAGTAAAAGTGCGTTTGTTTTTTTTTTGAATTAAGTGCTTAATTCATCTGATTAGATCTGATTTATTTAGAGGTAAAATAGACTCTGAAAACCTCTTAACGCGTCCGCTCTCGCCTTCGCCATATGCAGTACGCTCCCTCTCCATCTCTCTCTCGCCTTCGCCGTCGACAGTACACTCCCACGCTCCCTCTCCATCTCTCGCTCCCTTCGCCCCTCTCCATCTCGATACTCGCCTGCGTACTCTCCACCTCACAGGATTGCTCTCGATTTCAGTGAGTTCTCGATTGATCTCCATCGCTGCGCCTACCGTCTTCAAGGTATCCATCTCTCGATTTAAGGTATCCATCTCGATCTCTCAAGCTCTCGATTTTCAAATCCTGTAAGGGGTTTTTGTATTATTTCTGTCTTGGGGTTAATTTCTTGTAGTTTTTCTATCAAAGAACTCTTGATTAGAAACCCTATCCTCATACTCTGCAACAACAAAACAAAAAAAACAACCCCTGTAAACAAGAAAATTCAGTCAAAATGGATAAGGAGAATAACCATAGATTAGTTTTCAACCTGAATTAGGCTTCATTTTCAAAAATTGTTTCTCATCGTAGCACTGAATAAGTTTAACATAGTACCCATTTTCTTGAGAAATTATAAACTTCATATCCCCTGTAATCCAAAAAAGAGCAGCATATGTAACACAATGACATAATATATATTATTAAATATCATTTACCCATGAAAACCAATTATTTCATGTATGCAGGGAGGTGAATAACCCAAAATATTCATGATATCATGCATTTTCATAGTGAATGTTATGCATTTTCATCACGAATAATGCGAATAGTTGGTTCTTAGTTGCCACTTTCCAAGTATTGTCCATCTAATAGTGTGAAGATTTGTGCAATCTGCAATGGAGCTCCACACCCATAACAGCTATAAGTTGATGTAGCAGCTTTCAAAAACCCACCTTATTTTGATAGTTGTTAATGGTTGAGCCACTAGCAACCATCTATTGTTGGCGAGCCCTTATTTTGATAGTTGTTCCAATGCATTACCATCTAAAAGGGATCCAGGCTTGGAAGTTTCATAT